GGAGGAGGAGACATGAGGATCTTATTTGGGGGGTCTTAACTCAGGCCTCCGGTGGCTGTTCGGGGCGGGTCCAGCACCTCTGGAGGGCGCGTTTTCATAGTGGTTTCGGAGATTTTCTGCAGGTTCCAGGACCGAAGAATCGTTCATGCCCTTCGGTCCATCCCGCATGGTTCCGGGTTCAAGTCTCAGGCATGTTTACTAGGTTCTGTTCGGAACGCTCTCAGGGACGAGGGGAGGCCAGTAGCAGAGTCCTGAGAGATGCGTATCGGGATCCTTGTATTTTCTCTTGCTCAAATTGTCAGTGTTCGCCGTGCACGCGTGGGGAAGTGGGCGGGGACCCACGTTCACAGACACCAGAGGAGTGATTATCGAATGGCCTTGGGCCCACCCCGCCACAATGCCATTGGGATGGCTGAAAGGGGTCTCGCGTGAGGCCCCCAAGGGCGTCTTGGAGGCAGTTTCTGGGTTTCTGGGGGGCTCCTGCGGGGCTCGCGGGCGCCTGTGGGGGCCCTCTTGGGGCTCCTGGGGGCCTTCGTGTGGCCTGTGGGGGGTTTTTTGACGACAACCTGGGGGCGTTTTGGGGCCGAAAGCTAAAAACTGTTGCTCGGGTCCTCTTGGGGCCGTCCTGGGGCCTTTTCTGGCTGTTGTGGGTTTCTTCCGCCGTGTTGGCGCTCTCTTGGGGACCCCCGGGGCCGTTTCCGACGTAGTGAAAGCCCGAAAGGCGAACATATTTAAAGTGAAAGTTTTCCCGACGCAGTGGGAGGGTAGTGGCTTGTTGGGGCCCTTTTCGGGGGGCCTCTTGTGGCGTTTTGGAGGCTTCCTGGGTCGTCTGGGGGCCATCGTGGACGTCTTGGAGCGAGCTTTCGGGCCTTTTTTTGGACCGTCTTGGGGGCCTTTCGGGAAGCTTCGGGGGGTGTTTGGGAGGTCCAAAATGAACCAGGAGAGGGCCGGACCCTCCCCTGGTGAGTACGGCCCAGTGTAGTCCCGGGCCCTGGGGCGTGGGTCGACTTGCCGGTTTGGGGTCCAGGGGGGGGTGATATGGGGGGAAATTCTCATACGCCCAGAGACTCACAAGGGGTCGGCGGATTCTGGTGCACCCTGTGTGGTGCAAGCTGCGTGGTGCAAACCACTTTGCTGAACTTGAAGTCGTCATCTCCACTGCTCGCGCAAACATCCCACCCACCCACTATGCGGTGCAGACTACGTGGTGCAAACTTCGTGGTGTTAGCCACGCAGAGCCGACGCACGAGGCGCCCGCGACGCGCCCACGTGGCGTGCACTAGGCGAGAGCCCAGAGCTAGCACCCATCACGAGGCGGGCGCTGAGCTGCACACCTGCGTCGCCACCCGGCGCGAGGCGCCCACGAGGCGCCCACGGGCGGCCGGGCGCGCGCCGGGCATAAACTTAAGTCGGGCGTGTCCCCCTACAGGGGGATTTTCGTTGAAAAATAAAAAATACCCAAAAATAATCAAAAATTAGTTCAAACATAGTCTGGGGACTAGTTGTTGAGTATTTTTTGACCTTTTGGAAGTATTTTTGGTGTTTTTCTTATTTGTCGCAAATCCCTCTGTAGGGGGACACGCCCGACTTAAGCATAAACCCAAAATGCCGTCCAACTCGGTCAGAGAGCAAGCAAAGAACCTTGAAGTGCAACCGCCGTTTCGGAAAGCACCTCGCGCGCCGGGGGCCAGGACGACGCGAATCCACACAAATCTGTGCATGGAAGCGATCGCAGTGCATTTCCGAGCGTGCCGTTTGCAAGCCGGCAATGTTGTCAGGGAGGTCGAGCGAGAGAGAGAGAGAGAGACAGGGAGAGAGAGGTAAAGGATAGTGAAGTAGAGAAAGAGAGGCATACTTATATCCGTAAGGGCTTGGCCCCCTGCCGCCGGCCCCCTCTCTCGGATACTGGGCAGTGCAAGGGCGAAATCATGAGGCCCTGGCGCCGCCGTGAAGCAGCGTCGAGACTTCACGCGAAGACGATGAGCATCGGCAAGACACCTTGGGATTCTGATGATATTGGTGAGTTCGGTGTTGTATTTCGAGCTTGCTCGCGTGTGCTGTGCAACAGGCTTTTCCACGAAGTATTGAATCGATGCAATTTCCATGTGTTTTTTACCCTGACCCGACCGATCTGCGTGAGGGGTGCCACCGAATTTCAAGACATGTGGCAAATCCCATGTGTTTCTCGACCCTGACCCTGCCGATCTGCATGAGGAGTGCCACCGAATTTCAGAAATGTTGCAAATCCCATGTGTTTTTGGACCCTGACCCTGCCGATCTGCGTGAAGGGGGCCACCGAATTTCAGAAATGTTACAAATCCCATATGTTTTCCGACCCTGACCCCGCCGATCTGCAAGAGGGGTGCTACCGAATTCAAACATGTGGCAAATCTGATTTGTTTTTCGACCCTGATCCCGCCGATCTACGTGAGGGGTGCCGCCGAACTTCAGAAATGTGGCAAATCCCATGTCTTTTTTGACCCTGACCCGACCGATCTGCGTGAGGGGTGCCACCGAATTTCAAGACATGTGACAAATCCTATGTGTTTTTCGACCCTGACCCTGCCGATCTACGTTAGGGGTGCCGCCGAATTTCAGAAATGTGGGAAATCCCATTGGTTTTTGGACCCTGACCCCGCCGATCTGCGTGAGGGGGATGCCACCGAATTTCAGAAATGTGGGAAATCCCTTGTGTTTTCCGACCCTGACCCCGCCGATCTGCGTGAGGGGTGTCAAGTTGTCAAGTTCGACCCCCCTAGAAATCCACAAGGGGGCCGGCGGATTCACAGAGAGAGGGATAACGAAACATAAAGAGAGAGAGAGAGAGAGAGAAAGAGAGAGAGAGAGAGAAGGATACGGAGAGACAGAGACAGAGACAGAGATTTACATAGCTACATGAGACATCGCGCTCCTTTATCAACTCGGACTGCTCGGTAGCAGGCAGCGCGTGATGTCGGTAAGCAGGCTGAACTACCGCGTTGGTGTCATGGTCTTGGCGACAAGGGCGCCAGGGTGCACCGAACAGGAGATTATCATATAATCTGCATTGCTTGCTGATTATGGTTCGAAGTCTTCCTTGAGGGGGCGGAGGATCAGGAGGAAGAGGATGGGGATGAGGAGGGTGAAGAGAAGCAGTGATGGGAGCAGGAGGAATAATTTGAAAAGGATATGGAGGACATCAAGGACAATTCTATGACGGGGCTGAGCGGGAGGTGAGGGGGAGAGGGAGAAGTAGGAGGAGGGCCAGCAGCAGCACAGGGAGTGGAAGGAATGAGGAGGGATGCGGAGCATGATGCGCAGGATGATTACGTAGGTTCGGGTCGTGTCGACGGGCGGCGACCCTACCGCTGGCGTTCAATGTTGAACGCTGCCGACGACCCAGAGTCGGACCATGTTGAACGATCTGATGTTTCGGAGACGGGTGATCGTTCAAGGCTGAACGATCCCCGCGGTGTCAGAAACCATGCCGGGGTCGACACGACACGAACCCGCGGTACGTAGAGCAGGCAGCAGGAGGGGCAGCATGGGCAGGAGGTGGAGAAGATTCCCGGCCACCGGGCGGGTGTCTGCATGCGCTCGGCCACATTGGGACACTGTAATTACGTGGTGGAGGTCCCAATCGTGTGGTGCGGCGCCAGGATGTCGTACTCATTATCGCTGCGGGGCGTGTCTGGGCTCAGTCTTCTGCCTGAGATGGTGACACCCCGTCGGCGTCTTCGGCTGAGTGGCCCTTTCTTCCAGGGCTTGGCCCGTGCAAGCTACGAGCGGATACGACTCGGGTGACCGAGTCTGCCAAGAAGGAGGATGGGTGACCGTGGTCGCTGCAGAAAGGCAAGTCCCAAGCAGAGCAACACGACGAAGCCGACGACGACGGAGACGGGGCGCGCCTACGAACCACACCGAATGAGAATCTGGGAAAGGGCCTGCCCAGCGAGGTCAGGTGCACAGCACATCGTCGAGCGGTGCTGCGGCGTCCCCCCGAGCACAGGCTCCCCCGAGCATCAGACAGACATGTCGTGTTTGCATCCTCATGCTTTTCTGAGCCCGGGGGCGCGTTTTGGCACCCTCTCCCCCGACCTGACCACCGACGAGTGGGAGGGCGGCAGCAGGAGTATGAGGGAAGAGAAAGAGAAAGAGGAATAGGAAGATGAACAGGGGGAGGAGGAGGAGGAGGAGGAGGAGGAGGAGGAGGAGGAGGAGGAGGAGGAGGAGGAGGAGGAGGGGAGGAGGAGGAGGAGGAGGAGGAGGAGGAGGAGGAGGAGGAGGAGGAGGAGGAGGAGGAGGAGGAGGAGGGGAGGAGGAGGAGGAGGAGGAGGGATGAGGGAGGAGGAGAGGAGGAGGAGGAGGAGGAGGAGGAGGAGGAGGAGGAGGAGGAGGAGGAGGAGCAGGAGGAGCAGGAGGAGCAGGAGGAGGAGCAGCGACAGGTAGGAGGATCGCGGAGGAACGGCCCTGACCTTCCAGGGAGGGCTAACCAAAAAGAGCACCAGGACCTCGACATTTAGATTGCTGAGGCCTTACGGCCGGTGCCGCCGACCCTGGAGGCCTCGGCCCTCGACGGCCATGGGCCCCGGGAAGGTGGTATTCTGAACCGGGACCAACCCCCGGAACCCCCCTGGATCCCCCCCTTCACGGGGAAGGGATCACAGGGAAGGGGCTTCCTCTCGACTCGATGACAACGTTTCTTAATTTCGCTGTGGATGGGCTTGTGTATTTCGCTTTGGCTGGCGTGCTTGAGGACGAGGACCCAAGGAAAGGGGGGAGCGGCGACGGACTCAGGGGAAGGAGAGAACGTGGTGGCGGCGGCGACGGGACGGTGGCAGCGACGGTGATAGCGACGGAACAGCCCCTCTCACACGCCAGCAGGGTCGGCGGATTTCAGTCCGTGCCTGAAGCAGCCAGATCGGTCTACACGTCTGGAGGGATGTGCTGCAGCACGGGGGAGAAGGGGGGCCCAGGGGAAATTCCCGGGGGATGGGGAGGGATCGGCTGCTGGGCGGCAGGCCACTCGGCTCCTCTGCGCCCCGCTGTGCTGCTGCCGGCGGCGGGCGGCGGGCGGCGAGATCGGCGGCGCTGCTGCTGGCGCGCCCGGAGGCGAGCACGGCGGCGGCGGCGGCGGCGGCTGGTCGTTGTTGACTTGTGACTTGGCATCGCTCGGACGTGTGCATTTTTTCTCGGCGAGAACCATCGAGGACCATCCTGGACCATCGAGCAACAAAAAACAGGCACGAAACCGAAAAATGCATGGAAATGGACGTCCGAGCGATGGCGAGTCTTTCGTGTCGCCCCCCCCCCCCCCCCCCCCCCCCCTGTCGGTTGCATGCGCTTGCTGTGCATCCCCCCCCCACCCACTACGCAGCGCCCTGAGGCGGCGGCGGCGGCCGCTCCCCAGATGGTATCGCAGTTGTCGGGGGTGCTGCTCCTCTGGGAGGAGGGGGGGCGGGGGCGGGGAGGAGTTGGAGGTCAGGAGCGACAGAAGGACGTACACGTACATGAATCCACGCTGGTTTCGAGAGTACGCATTGCGCAAATGCTCGTACAACGCGGCCGGTCTCGCGGATCGAAGGGCCGTGTTCGTGTACATAGCGCGTACGTCCTTTGTGGGCCCCCTAGGAGGGGGGGGATCTGGGACCAGGTCGCCGGGAGAGGAGGCTCAGAGAGGGCGGGTGGAGGAGGGCAGGTCAGCTGGGAGAGGAGGGCAGGTCGGGCAGGAGAGGAGTCGGGGGGAGGATGGAGGGATGTGGGGGAAGGAGGGGCTGAGGGGCGAGGCTCTGGATTGCATTATTAGCGTTGCATGGACACATCGTGTTTTGCCAGTTGCTGCCATCTATCGATGGGTGGATGGCAGCATTGCCTGTCAGCAAGTTTTGGACGTCACCACTTGCACTCGGCGACGCGAATGCACCAATAACAGAGCTTCATGTTCATGTCAGTCTTGGCAGCGTGCTTAAGTCATATCGCCCGAGCATCCAGGCTGCTCTGCACGATGCTCTTTCTGCCATTGTAATTTCTCTGCGCCTAGCTGGCTCCGACACAGTGCTCCGTGGACGGTGTGCACCGTTGGGTGTCAGCATTCTGGCTATTGGCTATTTGGCCTGGAGGAGGAGGAGGAGGAGGAGGAGGAGGAGGAGGAGGAGGAGGAGGAGGAGGAGGAGGAGGAGGAGGAGGAGGAGGAGGAGGAGGAGGACCACGAGGCGCAAGGGAGGGAGGAGGGGCCCAGGAGCCTCCGGGGGGGGCGGGTGGGGAGGGAGGGGAGGGGAGGGCCCTCCGAGCCGTCGTCGCCCCAGCCCGGCGCCCGGGCCTCGAGCGGCGCCGGCCAGGCCTCCCGCACGACGCGGCGCTGCAGGCGCGCCGGGCCCGCTCGCGGAGCCGGCTGTCTGGCGCGACGCGCAGCAGCTCCGAGCAGCCCGCCGCGGGCAAGGCGCCGCCCCCGGAGGGCGGGCCTGCCCTCGCCGGTTCACGACTCCGGTAACTCGATGGGCGGCGGGGATAGGGTTCGGAATTCGCTGAACATCAGAGCGTGAATTACCTACCCCGCTTTCGCTTCCAGGAAAAACAAAGTCATACCACGCGCCTCCTCGTCAAGCGACCTGACCAGTACAGGCCGTAGTTTGGCATCGCCTGGTATCTCTTGGAAGCGAGGGTGGTCAAAAGCGAGGTAGGTTTGTTTTCCCCCTAGAACACGTGGCGAAATCCGAACCCTACTCCTGCCTCCCATCGATTCAGGAGAGTGGATGGTTGGTGCAGGTGCGATTCGGATGCCACCCCCCCCGGAGTTGTCCCGCGGAGGGGGGAGGCTGGTCCTCATCATTCAGACTCGCTCACGCTCAGGCTTCCAGTGGGGAGGCGTAAGACTCTAAGACTCGAGTTTGCCGCAACTCGGGTTTGCCAGCGCCCCTTGGCGGGCCGTCCTGGATTTTGACGGTCCAGTTTTCGTGGGATGTTTGCAGCGGGAGCTCGCGCCAACTTTCAAATTTGGTCTCCTTATTCTTATGACGGCCCCGTCCGTCCAGTTCGGGTCCTCCAAATTCCAGTCTTACGTCTCCCAGATTAGATTGATACGAGAAGGAATGAACGTGTTTCAATCTTGACTCACATGTGGAAGTACGTACCCGCGACGAATGAGTTCCGATTCATTTTCGACGTTTTTGTCCATTTGTGTGGTGGGTTTCGGCCTAACCCGCTACCGTGCCTTTGTTTTGGACCACAGGCCTAACTCGGGGTGTGTTGGGAGGCCTCTTCGGAGCATCTTGGGGTCTCGTTGGCGCCTGTTAGGCCTATCCTGGGAGCCTCTTGGGTCCTCTTGTGGCATGGTGGGGCCTCGTCTCGGAGGTAATGTTCGGGCCCACGGCTACACTATGTCAGTCAGTGCTCCCCCTCTTGAGTCTCTCTTCTTGGAGGCGTCTTTGCGCGATCGCGTGCGCCGCCTTTGGACGACCGCGGGGGGCCTACTGGGCCGCACGGGGCCTAAAGCTCGCAATGATGTTGGCCTCCGGGCGGGGGCTCCGGGAGCCTCGAAGACGGCCCAAGAAGGCCCCGCGACGGGACCCATAGGACCACCCTGAACATGCTGGACGTTTTCAATCCCCGCCCCGCGCCCGAGGCCTATATAGAGCAGTCGCGCAGCGATTCCCAGGAGCGCCTAGTAGCGCCTTGGAGCTTCTGCACCTGGTCTGCAGACAGCTCGAAGAGAGTGAACGCCTATTCGAAGCAGCATGCGTTTCGTTCGATCGCCAACCGCACGTGCCAGACTCTGGCGCGTCAGAGCGCGCCTCGGAGACGCGCGTCGATGCTAGCATTCGCTAGCAGGACTGCGCTGCACAACGCGAAACATCGGAGGCCTGGAAATTGGCACCAACACCAAGACAGGGGGTTGCCTCCACAGGGGGAAGGTGAACCTAGATTTTCGGTGCTGGTGGTAATAGTTCGGCCACCTTGGAAGCCAGAATATTACCACCATCGCCGAGATCGGGATCTTCTTCCTTCGGTGGAGGCACACCGCCGAAATTGGTGTTGGTGTCAGGCTGGGAGGTCTCCCACGCTAAAGACTCAGCATGCATGTGCTCTTGCAGCCCGACGTCGAGAATACCAGCGGGCGTCTTGTGGCACGGCCGATGCGGTCGCACAGGCTGAGCATGCACCGCTCGTGTCTTGATTTCCTCACTTCATCTGCAGAAGCGGGAGCACAACACACCTATACATTGTGATTCAGACAAGACGGTTTCCATCAAGCACCGGATCGTGCAATCGAGCTGGTGCAAAGTTCGGAGTTGTCCAGCTCGGGTCAGTATTCAATTTTGGTGGAGATTACCGTTCCCAGTTCGTTACAACTGGTAAAGCCTCACTGTTTCGAAACATCGTTCCGAAATTTATGCCATATTGGGTTTCACGCTTGGAATGGTAGAGCGCGCTTCCATCAAGCTAGCACGCGGAGGAGATTGGGATGCAAACCGAAGATTTTCAGAACCACGCTAGTGTTTCAAGATGCGGCGCAGGACAATCGAGGTTCTCTTGCTTCCACAGTTTTCGATGAGGCTGCCGTGATAACGGAGGCGGCTTCTGCGGCGCTGCTGAGAGTCATTGCAACGTCCGCCAAGTTTGCGGGCACGAGGAAATGAGCTTTGAACTTATAAGCAGGCGCTCGAGGCATTACAGTCGGGGCACTGGAGAAGGAACCCTTCTTTTGGGAGGGGCTCCGTGTTCCTTAGTTGTTTTACAGTGCTCCTTGGATGCTCCTGGGGTTTTCCATGGGAGATCGGAGTTTAACTTACGGGAAAAAGGGGCCTCGTTCCTTATTTAGGGTTCCTTGGGTCAACGCCCCAACTGTATCCAGTGGCGCTGCCGCGCGGTTCCGCCACCGCGCTCGGACGGGCGCTGAGGGGGGGGGGGCGGGCGCTGGTGTGTGTGTGTGTGTGTGTGTCCACTGAAGGTCCCTCCCCCAGCCTCATGTTTTGGCACACTTTCTGCCTGGAAGGCCAACAACGCAGTGCCTTGATTATAAAAAAGGATCACAGCTTGGGCTCTCCCAGCCTGATATTTTGGCACACCTTCTGCCTGGAAGGCCAACGACGCAGTGCCTTGATTATAACAAGGATCGCATCTTGGGCTCGATGCGTCGGAGGGGGGGGGGGCGACTACGGCTTCGCAGGGAGTGCGAGGGCCCGACACGCACCTACCGCTGCAAGTGCGGTGGCGGACAAGCCTTTGCGAGGGGTTCCCGGGACAACCATCCTGCTCCGCCCACTTATTCTACCTATGATGGAGAATTCATCACGGACCGCACGCAGTGGGCGGAGGCATCGCGTAAATTTGTGGAGGACAAGATTACGACGCACGTAAGAAGCATCATTACTTGGGGCACCTCGTCGACGGTATGGAGATCCTATGCGCAGGCATATTTGCTTGTTGGCCCCCCCGCCCATCAACCACTCTTCACAGAGGTTCTCGATGATCTTGCACGATTGCGGGATATCGCAGCTTTGATTGCTGATTTCATGGAAGCGGTTCTGGCACCGTGTGTGCACCCCTGCCTGTCTGTCTGTCTGTCTGTCTGTCTGTCTGTCTGTCTGTCTGTCTGTAGTCTTGCATTCCTGTCGGACGCGTGGGCAAAAATACATTACAGCATGCGGCTTGGCTGTGTATTCGTACGCAGGCAAGATGGGGCACGCGCCCTGGTTCGTATAGCCCATGGGGTTCACTTTCAAGATCTGGCAGCATTGGATGGCTATCCGGTTGTACGATCTCATCTGAGAGAGCATGCACATTTTCTGTGAGATTCTGGATGCGAGGGGGTATTTTAAATACTGCTTCGTGCATCCATCAAGGGATGAGTTGTGGGATGCTTCGATACGTCGCCGACGTTATCCAAAGAGTAGGGTTCTCAGCTATTTACCTCCTGGTGAAGCCCTGTACCTTTACTTTTCACTTGGCAGCGGAGCTGGCTACATCGTCATGTGGTTGGTTTCTACATGAGGTGACCTTGGACCAGGCAGTGGCTGCAGAAAGGGCGATGTATGAGCAATCCACACTATTCATGCTGCAGGACAACGGGACCCGCACCACCGGTGAACAAAAGAACTCACTGCCTAAACCAATCAACACCACAAGGTGCGCTGATTGGGCGATTGAACGTGAGCACGCCACGGTGGAAGAAACGAATGTTTTTTTTGGGGTCCAACTGGCATCCTACAGTTATGCTCCTGACGAGGAACCAGTTTACCGTCCACTTGAGGAGGCTCAAAGAGCAGATGGGTGCGGATACGTAAGTATGCCATTGAAACCCCAGACAGCATCCAGCATGTGTATTCAGCTGGAATACTGAAAACATTACTTCCTGGAAAGCTGAGCATGCTGGTGGATATTTGATCGAATATCGATATCATTGGCATCAGTACAGTACGAGAGTTCGACCAACACCCCCGTCAGTTTTGACACACAGCGAACGTCATGAATTTGGAAAAGCTGCTCCATGTCAATGAAGTGCAGCGGCTCAGCTATATGCCAGGCCATGGGGACGTTCACGACCGCGTGTAAATACCAACGTCATGATAAGCCACCGACCGCAAAAGGTGGACGGGCGCGTCGCCACGGCGTGCCTCTTGCACGCAGCGCTGAGCGGGGCGAGTGTGTTAGGGTCCACCAGCGCCGCGAAGACGCCCGTGGTCGACTCTGAGAGCTTTTGGCGCAACCCGCGAAGGAGGCGTTGGTAAAGAGCACGATGGAAATTTGACCCGATCTGTCACCAATCCACCCATGAAGACAGCGTGCGCGCGTAGACTTCAAGTAACAAATAAGTCGACGTAAACGCTTACTACCTGCGTAGTTCCATGTGGTGTTCCTCCGTGTCAGCATGCATGCTGGATGCGCGAGATCGGACCTGCAGCAACGGGCCAGGTACAACATTTTCAACAGGGCACACGCTGCGTCAGGTCCGAGTACGCCTTCAATAGTTAATCCCGCTCTGAGAAGGACGCGTCCTCAATGCCAGGATCGTCGGCGTGTGGGATACCGTCATGCGCGATGCGGATGGCGTCGTTCGTGGATTTTCAACCGACGCACAAGCTCAGGATGCGGTCTTCTCAGTTGGCGCAATAGATCGAGGCCGTGTTGAACGTGGCTTAGGCGATGATGAGCCCTTGCTCCTCGAACCAGGCATGCCAGGTTGCTTGGTCACGCATTCCAAGTACCGAGTAATGCACTGGTCGGTAAATCCAAAGCACGTCGTGTTGAATCCCACAAACGTTTGGTGCGGATGTGTACTGCTTGGTGTCATGCTATGGCAACGTGGGTCGGGTCGTGGCCAGTCGTTTTTTGAAGACGCTTTGTGGCAGTTCCCATGTATCCTGACCACAGCCCAAGGCGTGATCGCATGGAGTCGGTGGGTCGATCTCAATTCCACCATGTCGTATCGAGTCTCATCCTACTTTCAGGTTGTTTTCGGGGCCTGTCATCTTGAAGTCATCTTTGTAGACAGATAGAGTCATATTCCGCTTGTCATGCCTCCAGACACATTCGTATCCAGGGATCGGTCGGACACCCACTGATTCCAAGCAAGCACGGCAGTGGCGCTCCCAATATACGTCCGCCAATGGGTGGCCATAGAGAGCGAGACGCAGTCGACAAACGGTGTTTTTGTATTTGGTCCAAGAGGGAGGCTGTCGCCACTTGGGCAAAATAACCGACGCGTCAACGGGGGCGATGCGACCGTCGCTGTAGAGCAGTGCCTGTGCGTAGGCTCCAGTCGCGTCACCTTGCTTGCCGCCGTCGCCTGGCAACAGTGCCGTAGCGCCACATAGCTCGGAGGCCTCAAGGCGTGAAGCGTTGGAGGCGGCGTCTGCGAATGCAATGGCTAGGCCGCTCTCGTCTTTCACATTGTCTCCCTGGACCGCGGCGCGCCCCTTGTGCCTCTGAAGTTCTGGGGGTAGTGTAACATGTTTGACAGAAGAAAGTTCTCAGATGCTAGCGAAGTGAACCGTATTTCTAGCTTTTTGCGCGTTATTGATCGCATCGTCGCGCTCCATGTCCGTTTCGAGAATCCAAATTCTAGACGCTTCGCGTATCCCCACCAGCCCGTCCAGAAAGGACGCCCAGGCGAGTAGAGGGTCGTCCTGAGGGGCTTTTCGGCGTCCTGAGGGGCTTTTCGGCGTCTTGGGTGCCTCGGGGGGGCCTCTGTGGGCCGTTCGGGATCCTCTTTGGGGCCTCCTGGGGGCCTCTTGGGGCCTCTTGGGGCCATCTTGGGGCCTCTGGGGGGTCTCTGGGAGCACCTTGTGGGTGCCTCTGGGGGGTCTCTTGGGGCCTCTTGGGGGTCTCTTGGGGGCCTCCTGGGGGCCTCTTGGGGGGCCTTTTGGGGCCATCTTGGGGCCATCCTGCGGCCTCTTGGGGCATCCTGGGGGCCTCTTGCGGCCATCGTGGAGGAAATCGATCAAAGAAGAGGGGAGCTCTAAGTAGCGCTGCCCCCTCAGAAGGCCAAAATGGGGCCAAAACCATAGTAAAATCAATGATTTTGGCTTCCTCGCCGAGGCCGTTTTGGACGCTCTGACCGCTCCCCGCCCTTCCTGTCCAGGTCAGTGGGGAGGGGGTAGGGGGAGGGGTAAACCCCTCCCCGAAGGGGAAGAGGGAGGGGTGGAAGAGGAAACGCCCTAAACCACCGACGCCCAGAGGGCTGGTGGGATTTGTTTCTT